GTGAATGATCAGCAGATTTTAGGATTTGTGCTTATCAAGGGACAAATATGTACATACACTTCCGGCCAAAATTATAGCACCTTTAAGTTTTTTTAGTATAACTTCGTTCAGAGTGCACGGATCCTTATCAAATCATAATATATTTTGATGATGGGTATAATTGTAGGGCTGGAATTTAGAAAAAATTAATTTTATTTAGAATCTACAAAATAAGTTCAACTGAGTGGTGAACTTCGAGTCACCATAACAAGCTTAAATGCTAACGAAATGAAAACCGAATCCACATTTTAGATTTAACACGTTCAGTATTTTGTAGCAAAACCCTTGGCATCGATCACAGACTTGGCCATACAATATTAATAACTAACAGCGACAGAATGCATGAAATAGAAAGAGCTACAAGGTACCCCATAAAAGGAAGAAAGTACAAAGATTACCAGCATGCGATTTTGCGAAAATCAGTAAACGGCGTCGAAAATCATGGTGTACTTTATCAAACCTCAATACACACCATGTACCACTAAATGTTTACTGTAAAAGTTTGACCGCCTTAGGTTAACTTTGACAAAGTTGCGCTCAAAAAACCTAAAGGTATATTTTCGGCTGGTACTGTATATGTTATTACATATTTATCTATGTAGACAATAATGTAATATTACATAGTACATATAACATGTTTAGCTAAGAAGTAAGGGTGTATTTTTTTTCAAGCGAGGTCAGTGCACATGCCGGTACTGTTGTGTTCTACGATTACCACTTGTACACAGATTGCTTGGTTTCAGCCGTTTCTGATTCCAATTTTCGGTTGTTAATAACCGGAAAACAAAGGCTCCTACACATTTTCGTTATTCTAGATTTTCGTTTTGTTGTGATATGTAGAATCAACGCTCAAGGTGTCTAACACCAGGATTCGAACACCCTGTGTAATAAATATGATTTCTAACGAAGAGACTGCTAGACACTTGTGTCATCAACGTTGTTTAATGTTTCCACGTGGTATATACTACATATTATAATAATATAATTAACGCATAGAGCACAGTGCACAAGATTTCATGAGAAAAATGAGTTTAAAATCTCTTATTTTCCATGTATCTGCCTTGTAATGATAAAAAAAATATGAAAGTGACTGATACTAGAGTCTGTAAATCTAACTACTAGAGTGACTGCTAATGTAAGCGTTCGTATAATATTTATTAAAATTAAATATATGTACTATTTCTAAGTACTTAAATTCTTTTAATAATAAATAATATCTTGCTTATTGCGATGTAATTTTCTTTCTGTTGTAGAACATTCTAGAAATTATTAATTTTATAAATAATCGAAACTTATGAAGATTGGCATGCTCGTAACACATACATTGTATATTAAAATGATTATAATTAATACTTATTACGTATATAAGCGTAATTTATTATAAGAAAGTACGTATTATACACATTTTAAATGACTAGTCCACGTTTTAGAAACAGTAATAAATGAATAAATACCGTTAATTTATTAAAAGTATGATGAGCAAATTATTTCACAATGTGTACATATTTGACTTGAAGTCATGGTAACTTGTACAGTTCAGTGAATTAAACTTCAGGTACCTAAAAAATATAAATACATACTTCTTTGTGATATTTACTGAACTCATAAATATAAAACGGATTCATGACAATAAATAAAAATGATTGGTGTAATACTTTAATATTAGTACTCTGATCTACGTCTGGTTGCAGCGTTGTTGTTACACGTAGACGCATAAGTATCATACAAATGTTTAATTCGATAATTTCACGAAATTTCGAGCAGTGTGCTTTATACGTTTAGTCTATTTCAGTACATGACGTGAATTCATAGAAACCAGGAGCATAATTCCACTCAAGCTGGTCACACAAATGTCGAGCATTTCCTCGTAAGTAGCAAGACTTCACGCGCGTTAAGAATTCCCATGAATCGTATATTTGGTTATATGTATATAGTAACAAAGAAGATGATGTAATATGTACAAATTACTGCCCGCACTGCATTCTCGTAACAACTTAATAATAGACGAAATTTCCGTTTAATAATATGTCCTTAACTAACGTTAATCGTATATGTATGCTATTGGCCATTAGCTGGGGATCGACAATTTGATTGATCTCCGAACCACTGATGAAAACAATACACGTGTCTTCGTGGATGGTTCTCCATCTGCGGTCAAATTCAAATAACCGCTCAAGGCTGTTTTTCTAACTTTGAGTCACGCCATGCATAATCTCCACCTACTATTACAATAAGAGCGGCGGACTATTCGAATATCAATACGATGGAAACAGTTTTTCGATGATCTTGAGCGGTCAAATGATTCCGATCATTCAGCGAGATCTGATTGTAATCACCATAGTTTAATTTTCATAAACGAATGAGAACGGTTTCTGCAGTAGCGTGATTATTTTGCCGACAGAGTTTCACGCGATTGTCGTTAAAATAATAAAAAATAATACTGTTTCATTTTCGTTTTCTATCAAAGGCTCACGGTAATAAGTAACATTGACTTACTTCATTACGATCCCAAGAACTTTGTCCTACGGTGAACCTTTTTCTGTTAGAATGCAGTCGTTTATTTGCGAACGAGTCGCATCTATAAAATAATTCAAATACACCGCAGTTGGAGTGTATCTTTAAAGATATATCGATGATAGAGCTTGACTAGACGTCTTCATTTGTCATTCTATGATGATAGATCACTTGATATCGTTTTTTCTCTGCTATATGACGTTTGTATATATCTATCCTTCACCCTACACCAATAGGGAGATGTTGATATAACTAATCAATAATTGATATTTATTCAACTGATACTTTTCACAGTAAATCGTTGACGAAAGAAAAGAAAAAAGCATGGAAGAAGTAAATCCTGTGATTTGTCCTATAAAAGCTTTATTAATCCGTGTTATGCTTTCTTCCCTCTTTTTTTAAATGCACCCTTTTTGAAAACGAAGAGAGGATCGTGCAGTCTATTTTGTTTCAAAGTAACTGTTTTCTTATAAAAGTTTTATGAGAAATTTTTACAAAATTATTAGAAATAATACGGGTGAAACAGATGTAAAAAGAGCAAAATTATTATTGTCATTTAAAGAATAGTTTTGTTAATTATAAGTGGTAAAAGTACAGCCTGTGCTAACGATATTAACAGAATAGTGAACCTATATTAAATTTATAAGCCGAAGTAAATTTCACATTGGTTTACATTGCTAACACGTTATCAAACCTACATCAACAAATATTCTCCACAAGCCACTTTTTTTAAATTTGAAGTGAATAATCTTGACTTATCAGAGTATTAATTCTTTTGATCTTTTACATTTTAGGAATTTGGGGCTAGTTTATTTTATAATTAATATTATGTTAGGTAAATAGATATAAATAATATGATAGTCAGCTTCTGAATAGAAAGTACATTATTCCTCCCTGTAATCATGACATACACTTTTATTTAGCATTTATAAAAAATATATTGCATACCATCTGTAATATCTGTTTTTGTTTATAATCAGCTTAGGTTTACTATCTCCTTATATCGTTTCCGTTGGCTGTACTTCTGTATATACAAGCATAAAAACGTACAAAAAGTAGTTTAGAATCCTGGCACTAAATTAAAGAAATCTACAGAAACTTCTTATTTTCAGCTTTAATTTAGTTTTCATTTTTCATTAATAATCTACAGAATCTACAGTAACTTCTTGGTTTTAGATTTCATGTAGTTTTAATATGTTATTTGTTCATTAATAATTATTTCTCTCTATATGGACATATGGTTTCGAGTATCCGATGGAAGACTGCACGACCGTTACGCGTGTATAAAGATATTATCGAAAGTTATGTGTAAATAAAAGAGAACGTTAATGGATGAGTCAGGTACTCAAAGTGCAAGCGTTAATGATTCGAGGGGTAAGTAAATGCTTATAAAAATGAATCAGGTCCCGGTGTAAGTTACATCGATACTGGAAATTGATATATGGCTTCATTCACGAAATGAATTGATTCGTTTCTCTTTACTTTTCGCTGTGAAATTCTCTCAACTCTCGGTGAATTTAACGAAGCCTTCTCATGACGTTACAGTATTATAGAATTGTTTTCTTTTTTTAATACAATGTATCCATTAAATGTAAATATATACACATATTAAAATATATAGTTTAGATTAAAAATATGTACACGTGTATACAAAAATATGGAAAAACAGGTTTATGTCAATCTAGAATCAAAGAAACTAATCGACCAAACTGAACTTCGCGATTAAAATTATTTCTGAGTATTGTTCGAGAAATGCTTGGGAAGCGACGGGTTCGGCAACTCTACGAATTCTTAGAGAAACTCAACTTTCTTAAAGATCATCATTTGTACGTTCATAGACTATTAAAATGACTAACAAAGTGTAGCAGTTTTAACATTAAAGATAGTGACAGTTGCTGTTATAAAACTTGCTCATTGTACGTGATAAACGAACCGAAATTATGTAGTTGTATGGACAGACATTCTATCTTTCATTTAACCCTCTTATGGCCTTCAGTTCAGCTATTGTATATGTGTATATATATACGTATATATACTTTTAAAATAATATAAATGAATGGAGAAATTAATATGCCTAAAAATCGTCATTACATTGTTTTTTTTGTAAATTAGAAAGTCGTCAAAAGGAATGAAAATGGGATTGACTCAGGATAGACTTGAGGACCATAGTAGGGTTAATTTTAAATCTAACAGACTGTATCGACAAATCAGCATATAAGAAATAATAATTTTCTCTTCGCTAATATTATTTATAGGATTGTTTGAACGTAATTTGGCTCGTTTTGTACCGCCGAGGCTGTCCAAATCCATGTGTGGTACGCGCATTATACTATATTTACGTCCAATCAAACTCCGTCTCAACCAATCGTACTATTTATTTATACCGGTTCATCTCCAAGCGATAATCTGAAGATTCGGATCGCACATGTTCCAAATATGGTGTCGAATACAATTAGGCGTCTGTTTGTTTAAGTTTGCGTCACAGCGTTTCAATGCTGTTTGCCAGACGGGGCTCTTTAAACGCGACGCGAACGATCTTCAAAATGTCCCGAGTGTATCGCCGTTTAATATGCTGGCCAATTTAGCTTTGCCTTCACCTCAAATTTCAACGATCTATTATAACTTACGATTCGTTTCTCCGAGTGGCGAAAATCGATGAAATCGACGTCGCCCGGGTCTGCCACTATGACTTCCAAACCCTTAGTTTCCTTAACGATACTTTTTTCAAGTGAAGAGCTGCATTCAGGATATCGGATTCGCGAGTGTCTTCGCCGTCGGAATGAACCTCTCTCCTACGACCGGGCATTAGCATACGGTGTCGGGGTACTCTGGAGGTTGGATCGGAAAGCGCTTCTGAAACTGGTGCCTTCTCTTTGCTGGAACCGGGCAAGGACACCGATCTTCCCACGGAGAAACCTTTACTGAGTCTGTCCAAAGTGGCCGGTAGCAGATGCCGCTTCGGTATTGCTTGCTCCCGGTCTCGTAAAATGAATCTCCCGAGTGTCTTCCAGAAAGCTTGGGTGCTATAGACATTCTCATCGTCGCGCAAGACTCTCAGTTGACGATTACCACTTCCAACGGCGCCGGTGCCGCCCCATTCGAGTTCTTCGACCAAAGCAAACTTGATCGGATCCTCCATTCTTCTGGCTTTCACTAATGCTTGAGCTAGGACGTCTTGAGCGGAGCTGCTTACTGGAACGCGGAGGATCGCATACGGTATGTCGGGCGAGACGTTGTAAATACAAACTAAGAAAGTGTCAGCCTCGTCCCATATGTGAGTGGATGTATCTCGTTCAGAGTCGAGCTTCGAGTGACCGGCTGTACTTCGGATAGAAGCCAGCCAGGCCCTGCTACTGGGGTCATCCCCTACTCTTTTCAACAGAAAACGTCCCTGCCCTTTCCACAAAGCCTGCGCTTGCAACGGATGTTCTGTTGGGTCCAGGACGCGTTGGGTTGGCAACTCTTCTCTATCCTTTTTCTCCCAGCCGCGGGACACTTCTTCGACCAGGATATACTCGTCGACGCGATCCGCAGATATTCCAGCCTTTTGAAGTGCTTGAAGCATTACCTCCTGGGTTGTACTTTCTTGAGTGACTTTTAGAATGGTGTACGGTTCGTTGGGTACCACATGATAAACTATAAGGAAGAACATTCTCCTCTTCAACGTGACTCCGCCCAAACCGGGATCGACGGTAGTTAATTTTTCTGGTTCTTTTCCCGATAAGGAACGCTTCGATGGTTCTTTGTGATCGCGGCAGCAAGTGTTGTAGTCGAGGCTTTCTTCTTCCAAGCGTGAATAAATAAATAACGTGGATAGGGCTAGTGGCCTGTTCTTACAGGAACGTAAACGCACGTGCCTGTAACCAGGTCTCAAGCATCTCAGCGGTATGACCCTCTGTGCGATCAAGTGGTGGGAACTCGCCTCAACAATGCCGAAACGTAGGAAGGCGAGATCTTTGAACATCACTTGGAAGCAGAATTTTTCGTTCCAGATTGGATTCAGTGCGTTGTTCTGTATTACTTTGGTTTTATGCTTCGCACAGTCAATTGGAATACCGACTAGCTCGACTTCGACGTAGGTACTGGCGACGAAATTCGTTGGGGAAACGTACTGGCCGGATACTATTGAAAGTGTTAAGTGCGCCGAATGCAGTCCGTCGAATTCCTTATCCCAAGGATTGAAACGTCTGAAAGTCAATTTAATAATTTTATAGAACACGCATAACGTATTGAAGGTTCTAAATTGACTTAACGGAAGTCGTCTATCTAGAATAAATATTACTTAAATTGATTTTTTCAAAATTGAAATTTTCATAAAACGTAAGGTTAAACCGTCGGTAGGTGCCACACTACTGAATTAGTTAAACCAATTTTAAAATAACATTTACACCCGGGAATAAAAATGAGACTAATAAAAAATAGTTACGCGATTGAACCGTAGGAGATTGAATCTTATGTCACGTATAACTTAGTAAACTAAATTAATTTAATGTTTCAAATACGAAAGCTTACTTGTTCTATACTGATTTGAAAATTAAAAAAGGTTCACTAAAATATATAGATGTCTCTATAATACCTGTACATCATGTGTCCTTTGTCCCACATTACTGAAGGTTTTCTGACGTAGCCACACTGGCCACTTTGCTCAAACATAGCAGCGTTTAGATTCAATCCAGCGTCGTCGGTTTGATAATTTAGCGCCACCATTTGAATTCCAAACGCCCAAAAGATTACGGGATTAAAGTTTGTGGAGTCAATACGCATTCCAGCTGGATATGTTCGAATCAATTGGGTCTCTGCGTGCGCAACAACGCCCAACGGCTGTTTTCTACAGATCTTCTTGGCTGTACTTTCGTTTAAAGAGGAGCATTGAAAGCAGGCAGGAACACCGCGATTGGTCCTGAAATACATTATGAGATATAATATTAGTGAACCATAGTGTTACGGTCACAAACTACAAGGGACTTAATGCTTAATGCTTAACTTAAATGCTTCTCGATTAAGAGTTCATTTCATTCTTAAAGAATACAAGGTTTTTCATATTGCACAAGAAGTACGTATTGTAATAAAAGTATATTTACATATGAATCTGATACGGTGAATAGTTATTGTAATTTGTTACTGGGCTGTGTAATTTCTGACTGACGTAACTCTGGACTTTATTGTGATTGAATTAAATTGAACTGGACTGACGTTTAATAAATTCGGGTTTCTAAACATTCTAGAAACCAAGCACTGGATCATCTTCCCTTCCATTTCGCCCTAAGTAGCTCAATTGCCGAAACTGCTAAATATCACGGCATGACCTAGAAATCCGGTCGTTTATGGGACGGTCTCGGCGTACTCGTCGGAGCTGCCTTACCCACAAGCCGCAGAAAACCGTTTTTTTTTTGCTATAAATGTATCCCCACATTCGTTACTCTAACAAAGTTCTCTATTGTACAGCTATTTATTGTATTTCGACCCTCACTTCCAGGAATTCCAGAAAATAAAACATGCACCAGACTCCACATTATCCACAACATACACCAACCAAAATCATGAACAACCATTTATTACATTTCGACGCCGACTTTCAGGAATTGTAGAAAACAAAACATACACCTAGCCCCACTTCTTCCAACTCATACTACAATTCCTTCCACAACATACACCGACAAAAATGCCGCATTTTCCACCACCACACAAATACATACAACCAATCACAAGCCAATTCGTACCTACGAGTCCGTATGCATACAAACATCTGACAGAGCACATTCAATTATCAGCCAAAACACATCTATCAGTCGGAGTGAGCACAATTAGGTACACATACGCATACATCACATTTTCTTACGTTTATTCTAGTTCAAGTGTGTTACGGAGTAGTGTTAAATTATTCTAATCACATAACATAACCATCCTCATTCACACCAATTCCAATGAGCTCCGCAATATTGATTTATCAACTAGCATCATTTGTTATAATTGTATTCAACAAACCTAAAAAGATTGTCGATGTTACTGCCACCGCTTGCGAGCGAAGCTGACGTCGAGAGAGACTGTGGTGATCCTGAAGTTCCAGGTACAGTAGTTGTTCCAATCCCAGCGATACTATGCCTCTGTACGGGGCCTGTGTGTGGCTGATGGCGGGCTTTTCCAGTCGCTGCGGTTCCCGGCGTTGTGTTTAATCCACGAAATTTAATCGCTTGCAAGTAAATTACCAAGTCTGAGAGTTCCTTGGCAATTTGGCTACTTTGCTTTTGTGACTTGTCGTCGACCGCGGAATCTGACTTTAACCGACCGTGCGGCACCTGCGTTCCACCTAGGTACCTCTCGTAACTAGAAATCGAGTTGTCTGAAAGTTAAAGTTTCCTATTAGTTTCCTTATGTATTCCTTAATTACGCTGTATGTACAACTTTTTATACTTGGTAGTGGTAAATCCATTTATAGGTTCGGTTGGTGTTACGAAACTTGAATGATTTGACACGGTATTCAGAAGAATTGTTACACACTTATGTTATACAATTTCATTATCTATACTAGTTCATTTTATTATAGCACTTATTGAACGAGCAATCTACTGAAATTAGTAAGTTTCTGTTTTTGTGGACAATTTTTTGAAAGTTTTTCTGTTATTTAAATTCGATAGTTAATTTCCAGTGTCTTTAACACTGTGACTGTCACGTCACTCAAATATGGGTGACTCGTACATTGCAAAGAGGTTGGATTATTTAAATATGACTACAAAATTTTGCGTAAACTTAATATCGCAGTATAATTTAAAGCAAAATCAACAATCTCTATTAAATAAACGCATATATTTTCGACGATTTATGACTTGCGCTGGCAGCCAAGTCACAAATGCGTGTAATTTCGACGTGTGTGATACGTCTTTCCAGTGCAAGAGGTTAAAAACAAAATAAAACGTGACTGGTTATATACGGCTGTTTTCACTGTGGCAGTCAACGTGTCAGAGAACATACGAAATAGTTTACCAGTGACAGAAGGAACTGATTAATAAGGTATAACTGAAATAGATGAAATTATGAGAAACCTTTTTGGTCTTGCTATTTATGTTAATCTATAGCTTCAAGCGATTAAGAATCACAGTGTTTACGATCTCTAAGTTGTTGGTAGACCACTACTAGACTTTTTTTTACTTTAAATTGTATCCAGATTTATTCCAACGTGAACGTGGATCATAACAAGAACAGAGCTAGTTTGGAATATATAATGATAAGTTTTTAAGGAAATATTTGAAAGAATAATAACACTGTTAACACCTAAAAATTTTTGCACTTTTTAATAAGCGTTTCTGATAGACCTTCATGAGCTGAATACGAATATGCAAACTGTTTCTAGCACGTCCACTTTTTGAAAAAATCAATTTTTAAAAAATTGAAAATTTTCAAGTTTGGAACTGTGTTGTGCTTTTACAGTAATAGTTATGCAATTTCCTTTGACACGAAATAATTCTCTGGACTCTTCCGAACAAAATGATATAAAGTGTTATTATATTATAGACATCTAAATATGTTTAAATAATGTTTAAAGGGAAAAGGACACCGAAAACCCACCACTTTTTGCTGATATTCTTTAATTTATTTCAAAAACTGAAAGTTTAGGAGAAAATGTAACCATAGCCCGCGATAGAAAAGACCTTCCTGCTCAGGAAAGTGCCAAGGACAGTTGAAAAATCTGTTTTGTTTTAAATAGGGAAGCGAAATAGGCCAGCAAAACACCCGGCGCCGACAGTGGTGGCTGTGCGCGCCTAGCACTTCTGTTAAGGCAGGTTCACACTTGTGCAACGCGCGTTCCAGAACACACTTGAAAGGGTCGATTTTAATGGCTCGACGCGCAGCTAAAGGCAGGTCCGGATATGTGCAACAGCGAGCACGAACGCGCGCAACACAGCGCGCGGCCAAAATCCCGTCCACACTTAAGCAACATGTATAGAATTTCCACTCAAGACCTTCAAGAAGAGTCGATTCACGCAAATTTTCGTGCAGACGGGGAAACACAGATATCGGGTGCATCAGAACGTTCGGCGCGCATCGTCCACGAAATTGGAAGGAGCTTTTCTATTTTTCTTGAATTAAACCATCCGTAGTGAAAAATAAACCGCTGAATGGATGAATAACACCTATATAGAATGTTCGTGTACCAAATAGTAAGAATATGTTTCTTGTTTCCCTGAATATGTATTATAAAAGTAGTATAAATATAATATATATTTATACATAAAGGTTTTCATTATTATATAATGTAATCATATTATTGAGAAAATGTTGAGAGATATACTTGCTTTATGACATTGTTACTATACCTACGTGTACATAACTTTATTCGAATGCACATTTTTATGCATTTACTTGTTAACACATAACTTCAGTTGTTGGTCAATTGTATTACTGATGAAATAGTCAGGTAGAGAATCGGCAAGAAAAGGCGCAAGCAGTCATCGCCTCTACTTACTGTTTCTTCGGTACTTAAATTACCCAGTTACCTGAAGCTTCGTTTTGAAGGTAAATGTACGAAAAAAAGGAAAGCCCCGTCCACCGTTTAGTTACGTTTTTAAAAGTACTTGGTTTTTCTACAATTATTTGAAATTCTTGTCAGATCGGGACATGCCTCGACGTCGACTTAATACAATGGACGTAAGTAGCAATATTTATAATAATTTATAATATTTTCGTAAATAAAGTATATACAGGGTGATTCTGTCTAAACAACCGCGTGTCACTCCGACGGAGCGCATTGCCGTAGCGAAAGGGTTAACGTTGCACGAAGTCGTTAGCTGCGTGTCGAGCCATTAAAATCGACCCTTTCAAGTGTGTTCTGCAACGCGCATTGCACAAGTGTGGACCTGCCTTTACGCTGAGCGACAGGCACGGCGACCGCTGTCATTGAGTACCACTGTCGCCGCCGTGTGTTTTGCTGAACTATTCCGCTTCCCTATTTAAAACAAAACAGATTTTGTAACTTTCCTTGAGACCTTCCTTATCATAAAGGTCTTTTCTATCGCTTGCTATGGTTAGATTTTCTCCTAGACCTTTAGTTTTTGAAATAAATTAAAGAATATCAGCCAAAAGTGGTGCGCTTTCAGTGTACTTTTCACTTTAAACATTATTTAAACAAATATTTAGATGTCTATAATATAAGAATAATTTATATCATTTTGTTCGGAAGAGTCCAGAGAATTATTTCGTGTCAAAGGAAATTGCATAACTATTATTGTAAAAGCACAACACAGTTCCAAAGTTGAAAAGTTGCACTTTTTTTTAAATTAATTTTTTCAAAAACTGGACGTGCTGGAAATAAACGGTTTGCAGATTCATATTCAGCTCATGAAGATCTATCAGAGACGCTTATTAGAGGTTACAAAAACGAAAAAAATTTCAAATTTGTTGAACAGTGTAATCTTAATCAATTTTTAAATGGGTTTTGGATATTTGTAAGAATGGCGTAACGTAAAGAAGTCTAACAAAAATATAGGGTCGATCATTGGACATAGGTCACATAAATATACCTGACAGATTTGAAAATGAGGTAGAATAACGGAACGAAAGTTGCATTGGTCAAGGGAATAAATGTGATGGTAGAAAGAGATTTCTCATGGACATCTTACGTATAAAATGTTACAAGCAGTCGGTTTTAAAATTTGTGTTTTATTATTCTATTAATTTTTCTTGTACCATTTGTATCAATTTTTAAAGCAATACTTTTTGTCAACGTTCATACTGCGCTCAAATATACCGGTTCTCGTCTGCACGTAAATTTTTTGGGTTAGCTACTCCTACATATTAATCATAATTAATTACTGAGAATATCGTACCTGTTGAATTAAAGTTTAGAACCATATATGTATTAGTTCTTAAGAAAAATATTATATCATATGTAATATTAAGGAGAGCAATAGTTAATTTATAAGTGTAGGTAAACTTCTAAGAGGTAGGCACTACAAAATACTGCACACATATTACAAGAGTAATATTTGTAAACTCGTTATTGTGTTTATATATTTTTGTACGTTGTTGGATGAGTAAATAAACACTGAAAACTGAAAGAAAAATTGGTTCTCGTCTGATCATCGAAGTTCAAGCAGCGTTGGGAGCGATTAGTACTTAGATGGGTGACTGCATGGGAATACCGTGTGATTTTGACACCAAACTTTCTTTTACGTTTTAAAAAGTACAATCAAGCAACGTATATTTTACCTAAGTATATTGTGAACGAATAACACTTTTCTTTGTTTCTTACTCTATTCTCATGTAAAATTTTCAAAAAATCTATTCTTTTGTTTTCACATATTTCGACTTTATAGCATTGCGAGAGTATACTGTAAAAATTTGAAAAGGAAATTCTTAAAAGTAAAAATTTTATAGCCATAAGTTACACCAGTTCGAGAGACGTTCGGATCAGTTAGTGTAAGTATTTTCAATACCAAGCAAAAAACAAAGAATACGCACACCAACCTGCTCTGGAAGAAGATGTCCAACAAATAATGAGGCTAATATTTGAAAGCTTGACTGAAGAGGAATTATTGAAATGATGTTTAGGGTGAAATATTCAAATCAATAACGAAAGTTACAATTGTAGTTTGTGACAGTTTGCGCCGAAATATATTTTCAATGGTAAAAATGCGATAGAAATTGCCCCTGGGCATCAATTTGTATTTGTAATGAATGATGCTCCATGTTAATGAAAATTTAGTTTGTAATGTGAGTCAATGTTGGTCCTTGCGCACTTTCTTACGCCGAGAAGCGCAACGAAGAGCGTATCAAGCAAACAAGGCGCGTGAGCACTGCATCGTCTACAAAAGCTCGCGCTAAACAAAAAATGGAAAGGAAAAATCGGACTTACAGCATCAAATTGAGAAAGTCGAAAGACTACTTTATGAAGTAGGAATCGCTGATTAAATGTTATTGCCATAATTTTACATTCGTATGCATAAGAATCTAAAAAAAACTTTAAACCCGTTTTTCTCGGAACACGTATTTTTCGAATGGTGTACACGATTTAGGAAAAACTATTTGACCGATTTCAAAAGTTTTTGGTGCGTTTGATTCGTAATTACATTCTTTATGGTATGACCAATGTTAGTAGTCAATAGGTTTGGTCCACGCAATTCTTTTTTATTTAGCTTTTCTAACGAAGAAAAACACCATAGTTCGGTAGAATTTTTTCAAACATGCACCAATTATCGAATTTTCAATATTTTTCCTTTATCGTGGGTCATACCAGAACCATTCATACTTATTTAAAGAAAACTTTGCATTTTTAATTTCAGATAATCGTATCTCCAGATTTTACGTACACAACTTCGACGTGTGTTTTTCAAAGCATCACCTGCCTTGCGGTTTATTTAAGACTACGTGGACAAAAACACCACAAACAAATTTTTTCATTATTTTAAGATGTGTACTAATAAATACAAGTAAGAATTGTTACTTATAGTTTTCTTTTTTTTAAATCCAGAAGAATGCATTTTTTTTCATGCCTTTATACGAGAATGTACCCTTAACCTATTTACTCGCGAGAGAGGGAAAGATCAACATACATTTGCCATTTAGATTTCATATATTCCTCCGAAAAATATTAGACACGTATTTTTGTATCAGGCAAACGTTCATGTTGTAGGAATGAAAACAGCAGTCCTACGATTTTATAATCGTAGAAAACCTCAAATTGAAGCTTTACAAAATTTCGGATACTTCAAGCTTATTTGTTTCTCGTTGCAAAACCCTATGAGCACGAGTTGCGCTATAATATTTACGAATTTCGTATGCCATACCGCGTAAGTCCGAAATGTGGTTTTTGCATAGGTATGGAGTTTATTTAAACTCTTATTGCGAAATACGTCTGGTGCAACGGGTTATACTATTTGAATAGCCAATTTCCAGACGATACAGGAGCTCGATCAATGACCTAATGAGACTAATGAATGAAATAAAATGAAATGAATGAAACCAACTCGTGGAACCGTTCGAGAGCACGCCTATCAAGTAGAAGAAGCCGTCGTGTCATATGTATTTTACGCGCACTTCGCCCGTTTTTGAAGGACAAATAACTCGGAAACGAAGCGTCGAACGTAACTTTGTCTTTCTTAATTTTCATCTTAGTTTGTCATAGAGAATCCACAATGTGGAAGTGTCCCACATTTTTATTAACAGCCTGTATAAGCATGTCGTTACTATTATGTCTCATCATACAATTCAACATTTTCACTAAAAAAACATATTATAGTCACAATGTCGAAATGTACTTCAAACACATTAAATCAAAATGAATAATCTGTTCAAATGAATCATCAAGGGTTCGTGGTTTGTTTGCGTAGACCATCGATTTCAAATAACTCCACAAAAAGTAATCTAAAGGAGTTAAATTACAACTTCTTGGAGGCCAAGTAACAGTTGCATTTCTTGAAATTATCCTTTTACTAGACTATTCTTGCAATACGTTGATAGAATTAAATGAATTTAATTTAATTGTCAGACTATACTAAAGATAAATGACAACTAGTGACAGTTATAACATTTTAAACATGGTTGCCATTTCATTTCAAAATCATATCATTCTTATGCGTGATATTTTATATGCGCAGAATTCATAGAAGAAATGTGCATGAATAAATTGTGTTACCGTCAATATTATCATCCTCGTCATCGTCTTCCTCGTCGTCATCGTCCTCGCTGAAATATTCAACGACGGAAGCACTGCTTACGTCAGTTCGCATCTGCTTCATGGATGATGCACGATCAGACATAAGCATTTTTCCACGATGGCCCAGGGGAATGTGCGTTAGAGGTCCGGTAGGATCTACCACCAGTTTCTTGTTTTTGATCAATATTCGGTGCCGCAACTGTGATGGCGACGGCAGTTGGGGATCGTCACTGAAATCGGTCTCGAACAGGAATTTCGTTACGAGCTTCTCCCCGAAAACCGACTGAAATTAGATCAACATAATTTTGGCTGCATTAAAATATATTTAATCGATAATACTGCTTCATTTATTAGAACGCACGTTTTAGTTGTTTGTAAATTTACAGCTGTTTCGTCTTTGAAAAACGCCGCACCCGAAATACAAATCACTGTCCACTGTTGGTACTACAAAATTTTTGGATTGCAGAGGGCTAACTATGTCAAACTTTCTTTATGTATACGAAAGAAGTTTTTAGCGTTTTTGTCAATTTTGTACAGTCAAAAGATCTTTTTTTTCTATAGTAGGAAATACAACCACAGAAAAACTTACACGACATGCTGCTGTGTATAAAAATTGAAACACCAGGAAAAGAAAATAATAAAGGTGAAACATTTATTTGCGGCTAAGTGATGCAGACTCGATAATACCCCTAGTAGCACTGATGGTTGGTCAACGGTGGCCAACGATTGGGAGTTCGTTGGGATATGTTTAGTGTTTTTTCCTACAAATTCCCAACATAGGGCCTATGTCGAAAACTTGTGACAATTTACCAACGAATAGCCAACGTTGGTCCTATAATTATTACAGTTGCTTAATTGAAATGAAATTTACAACGATAATACAACATTGAGCATGATGCCGCGTCGGCATTGCAACGCGCTTTTTTATGTATACGAATATATATATATAGACTAAGTAATTATTATAGTTTTAAAATGTACAAAGTGGTCGAATTTAATTCAATTCACGACGGTAGTGAAGGTGGAGGAGACATCAGTGTGGTATGAGCAGAGTGGCTGACACCTCTCAAAGAAGAATGTGTGTGACCACCGTATAAAACCTTACAAGGAGGAATAATACCGGACGAGAATTGGACATTGTATGGTGTTAAAAGAATATTTGACGAAACTGGTAAAGAAGTACTTCCATAGTATGTAAACAGTTAACTTAATTATGTTTTTGTTATGTTACACAAAATACAGTGGCGAACAAAAGTATTGGCACAGGAGGTATTTCTATACATAGTGTTAAATAAATATGAAAAGAACGCAATTTCTTGTTTAATCCTTTTTTCAAATATAGGTCTGGAGTCCGAAGTTCAAATATATTACACGTCATAAAAGTTAAATAGACCTATAACAAAGAAAAAAAATAAAAACCATATCATGGCTCGTTTGCAGCGGAACAAAAGTATTGGCACACATACAAATTTCATGTTTCTAGGGAATTTTGAAATAAATATTTCGAATGTTGTACGACTGTCATGCCCGCGAATGTTCCACGATTCAGTTTGATGTTTATTTATCATAAATTGTTGCCAGTATTGTTGTAAAAACAAAAACGCACAAAAATGGGTCGCAAATCGCAGGAGACAACAATTTCTGAAAGGAAAATAATATTGAATTTATCAAAAGAAGGAAAGTCTTACTCAGCTATTGCAAAAATAGTAAATAGAAGTCGTTTTACGATAAGAAGTGTCGTTAAACGATTTTCTAACACGGAAAATTTAAGAAATTCTGATAGAAGTGGCCGGCCACAAAAATTGACCGTTAGAGAGAAGAGAAAAATTATTAACACAATAAAGCTAAAATCCTACTACTACCTCTTCAGAAGTAGCAGCACAATTAGAAAATGAAAGTAATGTAAAAGTTCATCCGATAACTATCCCTAGAACTCTTAGAGCTGCCGGATATAATTCAAGAATCGCAAGAAAGAAACCGCTCATTAGTAAGACGAACAGAATACAAACATTAGAATTTTCAAAAATGTACGTAAATAAAGATTTAAACTTTTGGGACAAAATTTTATTTTCGGATGAAAGCAAATTTAATATTTATCAATCGGATGGGCAAGTTAAAGTATGGCAGCAATGTAACACAGAATTAAATGAAAGGAACACCAGTAAAACGGTCAAACGTGGGGGTGGCGGTGTGCTAGTATGGGGGTGCATGAGCTCTTCTGGCCTAGGAGAGCTTGTGTTTATTGATACTATAATGGATAAATATGTTTATTTAAACATTTTAAAACAGAATCTTAAAAAAAACGTGAATAAATTATATCTCGGGAACGACTATTACTTCCAACAAGATCATGACCCTAAGCACACCGCCTATATTGTTCGACAATGGATAGTTTTCAGCACACCTCATACGTTACCCACTCCACCACAGTCACTGGATTTAAATCCTATCGAGCATATTTGGAACGAATTAGCTCGAAGATTAAAAAAACACAGTTAAAACAAGCAATTTTAGAAGAATGGCATAAAATAGGATCAGAGATAACAAAAAAATTAGTGAATTCAATGCCTAATCGATTAAAAGAAGGTATTAGAAGAAAAGGTTTAAATACCAAATATTAGATCTTACAATATAATAAATTATATTAAAAAAACGTAGGTGTGCCAATACTTTTGTTCCGCTGAAAACGAGCCACGATGTGGTTTTTATTTTTTTTCTTTGTTACAGGTCTATTTAACTTTTATGATTTGTAATATATTTGAACTTCGGACTCCAGACTTATATTTGAAAAAAGAATTAAACAAGAAACTGCGTTCTTTTCATATTTATTTAACATTATGTATAGAAATACCTTATGTATAGAAAAGTTTTCGGTTGTTTGTCTTGTTGTAAAATTAATTTTCATGTGTTATTTTTTAGATTTTCCTGAAATACAATCATCCAACAGACCACCTATTAAGTTCGCTACACCAAATATTAGTCAATATACATATATATTGATTACTCAATACATATATTCACAATACATATTGTCAAATACTATTGTGTTTTTCTGTTTTGCTAGTATCTTTTTTACTTTAGGTAATTTGTAGATATATATGTGTATACATAGCGTTCTTAATGTTCTGATTACACAGTACATTATGTTATAGATTCGTTTTAGTAAATATGTCTGTAACTTATCAACTGATACATAATTATTTTTAGGTCCATTGAGTGTGTCTCTCATACCAACAAACCCATTGCAGGAGCAAGTTGCCTTATGCAAAGTGAACTAAGTAACTATTTATGAAAACTGTTGTTATATGTAAATTAGCTGAAAATAAAATACTTTTATAATACATATACAAGGTGTCCCAAAAATGTCCTCCGACCCGGAAATGGGGCACTCGGGGGGTGAATTGCATCAACTTTTTCCTTAGCAACAATGTAAACTGAGGCTTCGTTACCGAGATATAAACGAAAAACCGCGACCAATCAGAGCGCGAGTTTGCCAACCGAGTTCCCGCGCTAGAGGTGGCTACGCGCTACGCTTGTACTACGGAGCTCCGAACAAGGAGGTCACCATGGATCACAGGAAACCGCGTATAATAATAGAAAATAAACAAGACGTAACAAATAAAATCATACTTTTTATCATCTGTCGTTTGTTATTTAAAGAGATTAATGAATGAAACGTAAATGTAGGCACATTATGTGTAACGTAAAAAGACGAATGCACATTTACATTTTTGCAAATTCCTTTTTACGAATTTGTAAATTTCCCTTTCAAATAATGTGTGAACGAAAAGGTAATGTAACAGAGAATAAACGAGAAGTGATCATAATTCGGTATTGGTATAAAAATTCGTAGTTTAATAACCGTCAACAATGTTACTGATAATGAATAAGTTTCTTCAAAAAGTCCGAAGAAAATGTTAGGTACAGAAACTTGCAGAATTATCGCCGGAAATAAGCCATAGCTTGCGTTAAATTAAGAAAATAATAATCAGCAATAAATTGATTAGAACTCGCCCTTTCGGAAATTCACCTGCAGTTGGCAAACCTGTGTCAGTAGGTCACTGAACCGATCCTGGTCATCGACGGTCGAAACGGTTTATGGCAGGGTATCGCCCAGTTCGCAGGTGATCGCAGGTATACCTCACCAGCCGAAGCTAAGGGTTGTAACGTCAAGTGAGTCCTGGTTATTCCACAGAATACGTACTCGCTTCACTGCATGACCACTAACACTGATCACCCGACACAATCACTTAATGTATTTTTAATCCAACGTGGTGTAACTACGTTAGGAAAATTCGTGGCCCCGGAAAGGGCCGATTGGTTTCAATTTTTCAGATGTTTTACGTAACCAAACACTTGCACAGCAACACCCGGATATCCGTTATTGTCTACGTACCACCATTAAATTCCGTAATACTCCCGTGAACTGAACATCTCTGTCGCCCGATTACTAACCGACTGACAGAATTTTTCCGAAAGGGCTTCCTCTACCCCCAAGTAGTTTCCCATCGTTACATTGTGAGTTCACTCCCACCACGACAAGATTTAGGTAAAACGAAACCAACGGTTCTAGGATCACACGTGCTTTGCAGAAGTGCAAGGAAAGAACCGTCGCGCAGTTTCTCCAAGGCGCCGTAGCCCGTTAATTTATTGCCAGGGTACCTACTGCTTCGAGATAGAAAACAGACATCACGTGCATCGGCTTGAAAATGTCCGAAATGAAGAGGACCACCAACGTATCCCTTGCTTCCAGTTGGAAAGTACAATGTACATTGTCTATCTCGACACGTGTAAGTTGACGCTGCTTGGACCAGACCGATCACCCTTGTAGAGGCCGGAGCGGAATTTTCGGTTATTTATGGCTCAAAATCTTCGGCCTCGTAGCAATCGTGAACTCACAGCGGAATTGACAATCGACAATTTTATTACAACTCTGTGAAATTGTAGTTCTCATGAAAATATTTCATACGTATTTTTTTTAGTATTCCGTCAAATATCTCGGAAATGATTAGAAATATAAAAACCGTACAATTTGCAATATTGTGTTTGATTTGATATTAAATGTAGCTATATCATTGAATTCCAGAATAATCCCTTCCTTTAAACCATCTTTCGCCGACTCCTGACAGTGCACGGTGCAGGTAAATCCAAAAAAAATACTACCGTATTCGTTGAACTCTTTTCCGTAAATCATTGACACTTTGATACAGCTTTTAATCTCGTTGAAATAGTCTGGAGCGTTAGCGATACCGACAGTCGACTGTAATAGTGGAGCGCCCGGTTCTTTTACCTGAACCGGGGCGCACCGCTGTCTTCAATAGGTTACTACTGCGTTAATATGAACCGCATCACCCTACCGATAGGCTTATTATACGGGAAAGAGTTTAACGAATACTGTAGTATTTAGAATAGTACTTTTTTTTATTTACCTGCACCAACTGTCCGGAGTCGGCGAAAGATTGTTTAAAGAAAGGGATTACTCTGGAATTCAATGATATTGCTACGTTCAATATCAAAACAAACACAATATTGCTAATTATGTGGTTTTTATATTTCTAGTAATTTCCGAGATATTTAACGGAATACTAAAAAAAAATACGTATGAAATATGCTCATGAGAAATACAATTTCACAGAGTTGTAATAAAATTGTCGATTGTCAATTCTGTTGTAAGTTCACGGTTGCTCCGAGGCCGAAGATTTAAGCTATAAATAACCGAAAACTCCGCTCCGGCCTCTACAAGGGTGGTCGGCTAGGGCCAAGCAGCGTCAACTTACACGTGTCGGTAAATTTTTTTCCCCGCTCCCCGAGATAGACAATGTACATTGTACTTTCCAACTCGAAGCAAGGGATACGTTGGTGGTCCTCTTCATTTCGGACATTTTCAAGCCGATGCACGTGATGTCTGTTTTCTATCTCGAAGCAGTAGGTACCCTGGCAATAAATTAACGGGCTACGACGCCTTGGAGAAACTGCGCGACGGTTCTTTCCTTGCACTTCTGCAAAGCACGTGTGATCCTAGAACCGCTGGTTTCGTTTTACCCAAATCTTGTCGTGGTGGGACTGAACTCACAATGTAACGATGGGAAACTACTTGGGGGTAGAGGAAGCCCTTTCGGAAAAATTCTGTCAGTCGGTTAGCAATCGGGCGGCAGAGATGTTCAGTTCACGGGAGTATTACGGAATTTAATGGTGGCACGTACACAATAACGGATATGCGGGTGTTGCTGTGCAAGTGTTTGGTTACGTAAAACATCTGAAAAAATGAAAACAATCGGCCCTTTCCGGGGCCACGAATTTTCCTAACGTAGTAACAATACGTTGGATTAAAAATACATTAAGTGATTGTGTCGGGTGATCAGTGTTAGTGGTCGTGCAGTGTAGTGAATACATATTCGATGGATTAACCCGGCGGCACTTGACGTTGCTATTCGTAACGTCGGCTGGTGTCGCATACCTGCGATCACCTGTGGCATGGACTCTACCCTGCCATAAACCATTTCGTCCGTCGATGCCCAGGCTCGGTACACTGACCTACTGACGCAGGTTTCTACGCTGCAGGTGAATTTCCGTAAGGGTGAGTTCTATTCAGTTTATTGGTCACTATTGTTTTATTAATTTTACCGAACTACAATCACTTCTCGTTTATTCTCTGTTACATTACCTTTTCGTTCACATGTTGTTTGAAAAGGAAATTTACAAATTCGTAAAAAGGAATTTACAAAAATGTAAATGTGCATTCGTCTTTTTACGTTACACATAATTTGCTTACATTTACGTTTCATTCATTAATTTCTTTAAATAACAAACAACAGATGATCAAAAGTATGATTTTATTTGTTACGTCTTGTTTATTTGCTATTATTATACGCGGTTTCCTGCGATGCATGGTGACATACTTGTTCGGAGCTTCGTAGTACAAGCGTAGCGCGTAGCCATCGCTAGCGCGGGAACTCGGCTGGCAAACTCGCGCTCTGATTGGTCGCGGTTTTTCGTTAATATCTCGGTAACGAAGCCTCAGTTTACATTGTTGCTAAGGAAAAAGTTGTTCCAATTCACCTCCCGAGTGCCCCATTTCCGGGTCGGAGGACATTTTTGGGACACCCTGTATAAAATGGATTTCATTTCAAGTCCACTACTAACATGTGAAAGAAATAATCCTAACAAAGACATTTTGTAAAAATAGAGTCAGGGGCAGAAGATTGGAAATAACTTATAATAATTATTTCTAATAATTAGATAGATGTATAAATTGTAAAGGTAACTTTGCTGGTAAAACACTTAGTTATCTGTTTAATATACATATACAATTTATACATGTATATAATTATTATAAATATTATTTCGAGTGTTATATTCCTTCAAATATTTTTAAAGGTTTTTATGAAAGAGTAGTATAGCCAACTGTCTCCATATACTTGGTTTATTGTAGATACTCAACAATTGGCCCTACAGAAAGAAATCCACAGTTGGCCCCTTGTATTATAGTGACGTAGGCCCAGCGATGGGTATAATCGTTGGCCAAACGTTGGGTATGATCGTTGGCCCAACGTTGGGCATGATCGTTGTCCCACTTGCAAAAAAGCGTGACCATTCTAACCGTTGGCCAACCAATACTCCAACGAAGGGCCAACAAAATGCCAACAATAATTGCTACTAGGGACATCTCGATAATATCTGTTGACACGTTGACTGCCACAGTGAAAAAAGCCGTACGTAGCCAGACATACTTTATTTCGTTTCTTAAATAATAAATCGTCGAAAATGATATGTGTTCAGGTAATTCAGGTTGTTGGTCTTGTTTTACATAATACTACGATATTAAGTTTTAATCCAGCTTCTTTGTAATGTCCGTGTCACCCATATTTAAGTGACGTGGCAGTCAAAGTGTTAAGCAACGCACATAATTTGGCTTGTTTTGTAATATTGATCATAACGTTTCATCGCCTACGTACTATATTACAAAAGACTGTTCAATTCATTTTAGTTCTTCTCGATATTGCAATTTTCATGCACACTGATCTACTTATGTTTTATGTTAAATTACTAGTGAAAGCAATTTATTGTTATCACCAAGGTGATTTGAAGCCGGCTTCAAAATAACGCACTTTTATAAGAAAACAAAATCAGCGTAACACCCAATCTGTATACATAACGATTACGCACCTGAAAGATTTGGGCCATCCGTGCTTGTTGACTCTGGGAACAATGATTCTCGATGGAGAGAATCACAGGATATGGGGAGCTGATGAAAGCACTTCTGTCAATTGCTTCGACGACTGAGCGAAATGGAATCTTAGTAGTGAAGGTGTGCCCATGGTAAATAACTGGAGACCCATCATCGCCGTCCCAGCAGTCAAGTTCCACACATCGACATCCCGTTAGCAATACCTGCGAAGTGAATTTACTGTTACGCGGAGCATTCAACGACACATATTCAAACTACACCGCAGAAGCGGCAGAATTTCTGGAAAGCTTGTAGGTACCATTCAAGTTTCTGGGGGCGTAAATAACAATAAGTTTAACACTCTTTTTACATAAGAAATAAAGAACGTAAAAGACTGCAGTTTTCTTATTTTATATGTCTATGAATAAATAATTAATGAATGTATTTATTTATTTTATTGAAAATGATATTTCTTCATTGCAAAATGAGAAAATTCAAGAAAAAATACATATTGTGCGAATTTTCTAAATATTACTTCTGGTAGAAATATAATAACAATGGGAAAAATGTTTGAAGGTATTTGTACGTATTTATAATTATTTATGTGAGTGTTGGACATTTTCGTGTCTACGTTCGAAAAAATGTGTTACAAGTTGTTGTTATTTGGTATTGTATTCCTTGGTCTATTGTATTTATTATTGGAATATATTGTTATTGATATTATATAAATTACTTATTTATTGATATCCGTCATAAAATTCACATTAAAAAACTTACTCCTCTAATAAATAAATGTCTATCTATACGCGTTTATTGGTCACAAGGATGTTTTATCTTTCAAGAATTTAAATTATACCCTATATAGTGTATTCCACTAGCTTCATTTTTTAAATATTCGAATTTGGAAAAATGTTTGGTATACATCCATGTGGTTTCTTTTTATCTCCTGTGTCGGTCTACTACTACTTGCTTCTGTTAGTACGGAGGATTATAAAAGTTGGTATGTGTTCATCTGTAATGATCTACAGTGGATAATCAAATTATTATGAACAGATGGACAAATGACATGTTTTATGTTTTCTTTAATATTTATGACTTCAAGTATACCCTTTCTTTTTTTCTTAACGTATAGGTATATGTACCTATGAGTTAACTACATTTTGGTATGTTCGCAACACTATTTTGTTTAATCAATACACAGCAATATGTATACTTGTAACAAGCTACCAAATTGTGCTACCGTTTATAATTCATTAGTGTGACTTGCTACTGCCGATTTATGTGTTGGTTTCCAATGATCTATGTCTACCTTGATTGTTATTGATTCTAACACTGTTCAATTATATTGCGCCAAAAAAAAAATATGCTGAAACGAAATCAACCAAATATAGATGCGAAGTGTGGTGTGACGAAATATTGACATACATATAATTTGAAAAATTATAGAAGATGCAAAACCATTGCCATATGTCGTTAAAAACATAATAATATAGTTTGTAATAAAGAAGGAATCATTACAAGTGTATTTTCAATTCCATTCTTGAATAAAATTCAAATGAGTGATAATTTCGAAGCGTTCATAATAATTTGATCACTTACTGTAACGTTAATTGATGGGGTACACTAAGACTGATAAAAAATAGGCAACGTCAGGAAATATGTATTGTCTTCTACAAATACGAATAACCAGTAATAAATAAACAGACGGTCCAATGGGATTTCAAATATCTTCTTAGCAAGTACTACATTTATTGTATCATGCTCCATTCGTAAACATTGTATCGTTAACTGTTCTGTGTACGTATGCAATGTGTACATGGTGTGTAAAATCAGTGTAAATACACAGAAATTCTCAAATTTGTTTACGGAAGGCTATCACATTTATTTGACCAAATTATATACCAAAATGGAAATATCATTTGAAAGATAAGAAAAATTTATCAGAAGAGAATGATAAAAGTAAGGATGATAAAAATGCTTAAATCGAAATGCATGCAGAATTTTATACTACATTGTCGTTTCAAAAGTATGTGATCGAAAGTGTGAGTTGTAGTAACTTTAATCTTCGATACTAAAATTGAAGTCCCAAAATAATTCCAAGAACAGTACTTGTGAATAATTGAAATCCTCTTTGTGTATCAATTTCGTTAGAAGAATTGACATAATTTCTCATTACGTACTCATAAGGTAACATCTCAAAAGCAACAATTTTGTTTCGTTCAGACTGGCATGAAATCGTAGAGAATTAAGGGGGGAGACTCCGTGGCCCGTGTTCTGTGTCCGTGCGCTCTCGCAATCAACGGGAACCATGTATGTATACGCGATACACGAGAGAGA